AGTGTTTTGTTGAGGCTTTTTTGTTTGTATTCATAAGTGATCTTGGTCTTTAGTTTTCTTTTCTTATAATATGTTTCTCTGGGGTAAGGGGGTGTTTTTTAGGTTTTTTTCTTTTTTGAGACAGATTCTTGCTCTGTTGCCCAGGCTGGAGTGCAGTGATGTGATCTCAGCTCACTGCAACCTCTGCCTCCCAAGTTCAAGCAATTCTCCTACCTCAACCTCCCAAGTGGCTGGGATTACAAGTGCCCACCACCACATCTGGCTAATTTTTGTATTTTTAGTAGAGATGGGATTTTCACCATGTTGACCAGGCTGGTCTCGAACTCCTGACCTCAAGTGATTCCCCTCTTCCTTGGCCTTCCAAAGTGCTGTTTCTCTCGTTTTGGTATCAGAGTAATACTGATATCGTATAAGAGTTGGGAGGGGCCTTCTCCCTCCATCTTTTGAGTCTTCATCCAGCTGACTGACTTTTGTGTATTAGTGTGTATGAGAGAATTTTCTTTTCACCACATACTCTAAAATGTATACTTTTTTTTTAAACAACTGATAAATTCCCTTATATAGAGTTTCTTTGTTCTATCTTGATCTTTTTTCATAGAATTCTCTTTTGATGGGGCACAGACATGCATTATCAGAGTTGCTTCTCTTCAAGCAGAGAAAAATTATTTATGAGTTCTGTTTGTACATATTGATGCTATGTATACTGTTGCAAGAATCACATGATCATTCAAATGTCAGACTGAGGGTAAAAAGACTTGACTGGGCAGGGTGGCTCTCACCTATAATCCCAGCACTTGGGAAGGCCAAGTTGGCAGGATTGCATGAGGCCAGAAATTCAAGATCAGCCTGAGCAACATAGGGAGACTCCATCTCTATTTATGAAAAGTCTTTAAGGCTGGGTATGGTGGATCACGCCTGTAATCCCAGCACTTTGGGAGACCAAGTCAGGCAGATCACCTGAAATCAGGAGTTCGAGACCAGCCTGGCCAACATGGTGAAACACCATCTCTACTAAAAATACAAAAATTACCTGTGCCTGGTGATGTGTGCCTGTAATCCCAGCTACTTGGGAGGCTGAGGCAGGAGAATTGTTTGAACCCAGGAGACGGAGATTGCAGTGAGCTGAGATCACACCACTACACTCTAGACTGGGTGGCAGAGTGAGACTCCATCTCAAAAATAAAAAATGAAAGGTAAACACTCACTGAAGTTAAAAATAATTTCTATGGGATATAGTAACAACAATAATAGTAGTTAACATATGTTGTATACTTACACTAGACTAAACAATTTACGAATACCGCAGTCAGGCTTTCTGGCAAGACAACCAGCTCTGCTGTGAAAAAATAAAATCCCTAGTTTCAGAAGTGCTGTTTCTTAACTATTCTCAGTCACTACAGAAGATTATAATAAACTCCTCAACTCTCTGCTGGATCAATTCTTTACAAATGGAAATTAAAATAGTAATACTTAAAATGTATAGTAATTTTAAGCTTTAAAGTGCTTCGCATTTTATTCATTCAAAGCACTAAATCTGAAACAGTCTAAGCATCTGATCTTTGAAATCCAAATACATTTTAAGGTATGCTAAGCCTCAATACCTGAGTGAAAATATACTGTTGGAGTTTTACAAAATTACCTGTATTTTAGTAATTTTTTTGTCAGGTCAAACTTAATTATCTGGGAGAAATATATATGATATATTTATATGTATATAGTATTAATATACATTTATGTATGTGTGTAATATATATGTAATTTGGATACAATTCCCTATTCAATTGATTTCAGCAGAAATGTATTAAGTATGGAAGTAGTACTGTATAGCAGCAGTCCCCAACCTTTTTGGCACCAGTGACCCATTCATGAAAGAGACAGTTTTTCCGCAGATGGGGTGTGGGTGGTCGGGGGACATTAGATTCTCGTAAGGGGCATGCAACCTAGATCCCTGGAGTGTGCAGTTCACAATAGGGTTCGCACTCCTGTGAGAATCTAAGGCTGCCACTCATCCAGCAGGGGGCAGAGCTGAGGCGGTCATGTTTGCTCGCCTGCCACTCACCTCCTGCTGTGTGGCCTGGTTCCTAACAGGCGGCAAACCAGTACTGGTCAGCGGCCCGGCGGTTCGGGACCCCTGCTATATGGGGAGGATACACACATGCAAGAGACAGTGTTCTATTCGATGTTTTCAGGAGATGCTATCATGAAGACCTTTTTAGGGTTAGGAAAATGTTTATATTAAATGTGAACTGGCAGAGTCCAAATTGAAGACTATTCTAAAGGCATTGCCTTATTTATCATAACACTTCTGCTGCTAAAACAAGCTTCAGACACATTCAGTACATTTTGTTTTGATCCAATATCTATTTGATCCAGAGGCTTTTCCTTTTGAAGGGTCTTTTGGAAGCAACATTATCTGTAATCATGTGTACTAATCAAATAATGTTTACACTTTCCAATGCAAATTTGTATAATTTTTTTTTTTCTTTGAGACGGAGTCTCGCTCTGCCAACTAGGCTGGAGTGCAGTTGCACGATCTCGGCTCACTGCAACCTCCACCTCCCGGGTTCAAGCAATTCTTCTGCCTCAGCCTTGAGTAGCTGGGACTACAGGAGCAAGCCACCATGCCCAGCTAGTTTTTGTATTTTTAGTAGAGATGGGGTTTCACCATATTGGCCAGGCTGGTCTCAAACTCCTGACCCCATGATCTGTCCGCCTCGGCCATTTTTGGGGATTTTTTTTTTAGAGGCAGGGTTTCACTGTGTTGCCTCAGCTCCTGGGCCCAAGTGATCCTCCTGCCTCGGCCTCTGGAGTAGCTAGGACTATGGGCACAACCCACTGCACCTGGCTCCATTTATGTTTTTTGTTGTTGTTGTTGTTGTTTTTCAAATTTCACTTCCAACATTGTCACTCTTTGTTTCTTTACTGCACTTTCTTTCTTGTTTTAATCATTTTTGTAAAACATCACATGGATTTATCACTAGGAGACAAAACAAGGCAGCTACGTCTTTAGCTGTCTGTGAGTGAACTGAGTACCAGATATGTAGTAACCAATCACTGGCCGACTTTGAATGAAGTGGTATCATTGGCCACTGGTCATGATGTTATGTAGTGATTTTATAGACTGAAGAACTAGCAGCGAAGATTGTGCATTATGCATTGCTCACAATCAATATATTTGGTCACTGAAATTTGAACCATGGTTTGGGGAGTAGCTGGTGTTTTAACTAAAGCTTAGTAACTGAAACCTGTGCATACCAGAACCTTGCCAAGAGAGGACTACCATGGTAGTTAAATGAGGGGCATCAGGTTCCACAAAGGATTATAAAAATACTACTCTACTGTATTATTCATTTACATATATACATGTATATCCTAAAGTAATAAGCTTGTTTTAAAATATTAACCATACTTAATGATTGATATTTATTATATTATAATTATAATAATTTTACTGGCCATCTAGGGATTTAGAAGAGTTCAGAGGGATTTAATGTACGATCCAGGAAGTTTGAAAGTTTGAATTGATACCTTCCTTTAGATCTAAAGATATGGGCCAGGCGTGGTGGCTCACGCCTGTAATCCCAGCACTTTTGGAGGCCAAGGTAGGCGAATCACTAGGTCAGGAGATCGAAACCATCCTGGCCATGGTGAAACGCCGTCCCTACTAAAATACAAAAAATCAGCCAGGCAAGGTGGCGCGCAACCTATAGTCCCAGCTACTCCGGAGGCTGAGGCAGGGGAATCGCTTGAACCCGGAAGACGGAGGTTGTAGTGAGCCGAGATCGTGCCACTGCACTCCAGCCTGGTGACAGAGCAAGACTCTGTTCCCCCGCAAAAAAATTTACACTGCAATTTTATATATGTAGTGATTTCATATATGTAGTGATGTTATGTGGTGATTTTATGTACACTGCAATTTCATATATACCTATGTTTAATGAGACAGTATTTTTGGACACCTGAGAGTTTTTCATCACACAGTAATACCATCTATATAAATGTATCACATTATTTAAATTAATTACTAATATTTCAACTTCTATTTTGGACTGAAGGAATTGAATTGATTTATAAATTGTTCTTTTAGTCCTAAAATTCTATATGTATTCTCTGACTTTTATATTAAAAACTATTAAAGCTGGGCACGGTGGCTCATGCCTGTAATCCCAGTGCTTTGGGAGGCTGAGGCAGGGGGATAGCATGAGCCTAGGAGTTCAAGACCAGCATGGATAACATAGCAAGACCCTGTCTCTACACACACACAAAATTAGCCAGGTCCACACCTGACACGTGCCTGTGGTCCCAGCTACTCAGGACACTAAGGTGGAAGGATCACTTGGGCCTGGGAGGCAGAGGCTACAGTAAGCCATGACTGTGCCACTGCACTCCACTCCAGTGTGGGTGACAGAGTGAGACCCTGTCTTAAAAAAAGTTAAAAACTATCAAGTGTAGTGCATGTTTAATTTGGGGACTAAATACTTATTTTTAAGGGGGTGGTTAAAGTACTCGGCATTATTTAGTAAGTTAAAGCCTTGGGTTTTAAACCTGATTTGGAGTTGAGCTCTGGGAAGGAAAGGATGATTGATTCATAGCACCCTGAGACAGTCACGTACGATTTGAAAAGCAGATGTACTCTAAGGCTATCAAAATAAAAATAACACCAAGTACTATGCTTATCTCTTAAAGTCATGTTGTTTTCTGCAAGGTGTTAAAAATGAAAATAAGATTGTTCTAATAACATTTAAGTTTCATAAGTATATGTGTATGATACAAGCAAGATTGATGGGTAACTATTTGCAGTATAGTTTTTTTAGAATGATGTACTTTTAGATTGATTTTCCAGACCGCTGAAATAAAAAACACTCAGTTTAATTTGAAATAATGGGAACGTTGGCTCTGATGCCGTGACTTTAAGTGTATACATGCCCAACTGTGAATGGATTAAGCTCATCATTGGCGTTGCATTGAAGTCATTCAGAGATTCTCTTTTGCCATTGCAGGTAGAGCGGGAAAAGGCCATTCTTTTGGCCAACCTACAGGAGTCACAGACACAGCTGGAACACACCAAGGGGGCACTGACGGAGCAGCATGAGCGGGTGCACCGGCTCACAGAGCACGTCAATGCCATGAGGGGCCTGCAAAGCAGCAAGGAGCTCAAGGCTGAGCTGGACGGGGAGAAGGGCCGGGACTCAGGGGAGGAGGCTCATGATTATGAGGTGGACATCAATGGCTTAGAGATTCTTGAATGCAAATACAGGGTGGCAGTAACTGAGGTGATTGATCTGAAAGCAGAAATTAAGGCCTTAAAGGAGAAATATAATAAATCTGTAGAAAACTACACTGACGAGAAGGCCAAATATGAGAGTAAAATTCAGATGTATGATGAGCAGGTGACAAACCTTGAGAAGACCACCAAGGAGAGTGGGGAGAAGATGGCCCACATGGAGAAGGAGTTGCAAAAGATGACCAGCATAGCCAACGAAAATCACAATACCCTTAATACGGCCCAGGATGAGTTAGTGACATTCAGTGAGGAGTTAGCTCAGCTTTACCACCACGTGTGTCTGTGTAATAATGAAACTCCCAACAGGGTCATGCTGGATTACTATAGGCAGAGCAGAGTCACCCGCAGTGGCAGCCTGAAAGGGCCTGATGATCCCAGAGGACTTTTGTCCCCACGATTAGCCAGGCGGGGTGTGTCATCCCCGGTAGAAACAAGGACCTCATCTGAACCAGTTGCAAAAGAAAACACAGAGGCCAGCAAAGAACCAAGCCCAACTAAGACCCCCACAATCTCTCCTGTTATTACTGCCCCACCATCATCTCCAGTATTGGATACAAGTGACATCCGCAAAGAGCCAATGAATATCTACAACCTTAATGCCATAATCCGGGACCAAATCAAGCATCTGCAGAAAGCTGTGGACCGGTCCTTGCAACTGTCTCGCCAAAGAGCAGCAGCTCGGGAGCTAGCCCCCATGATTGATAAAGACAAGGAAGCCTTAATGGAAGAGATCCTCAAGCTCAAGTCCCTGCTGAGCACCAAACGGGAGCAGATCGCCACATTGAGGGCAGTGCTGAAAGCCAACAAGCAGGTAATCTCATTCTACTGGTGAAAGCATGCTAGTCAAAGCTTTCTTAGCTAATTCATTCCCTAATTTTATTGAGTATCCAGTATCATCAAGATGACAGTTCAGATTCTTGGTCAGTGGAGAAATAAAACTATGTCCCAGTGCCAGACCGGAATGTTGTAATAATTACTATGTTTAAATGAGTGAGTGGCTGAAATATCCATGCCCAGCTAGGTAGAGGCAGAGGTGAGGAAGTTAAAGCAGGAACACAGAGGACCCAGATGCCTTTCTGCAGATAGAGAAAGGTGGTTCAGGCGGTGCTGGGCTGAAGCCTGGCAGTGAGTGACTGTGGAAACAGGAGATGGAGATTGGCAGAATAAGCTGACAAGGCAGGTTACACCAGCTAGGGAGATACAGCAAGAAAGACAGACACCCCGCAGGCAGCTGGAGCAAACAAGGAAATCTGGGTGCAGACGGTGAAGAAGGTCTGCTGGTCAATAACTGGAACCCAGCTTTGGACCTGGAGGTTCAGATTCAAGACTCAATTTCTAGGGGTATAGCAAGTTATTATTTATTTTTTTATTATTATTGTTTCGAGACAGTCTTTCTCTGTTGCCCAGGCTGGGGTGCAGTGGCGCCATCTCGGCTCACTGCCACCTCCACCTCCTGGGTTCAAGCGATTCTCCTGCCTCAGCCTCCCAAGTAGCAGGGATTACAGGCATGTGCTGCCATGCCTGGATAATTTTTTGTATTTTCTGTAGAGACGGGATTCCGACATATTGTCTAGGCTGGTCTTGAACTCCTGACCTCAAGTGATCTGCCCGCCTCAGCCTCCCAAAGTGTTGGGATTATAGGCGTGAGCCACCGCACCCTGCTAAGTATAGCAAGATTAAAAGGAGTGTTTTGTTTTTCATCCCAAACTTAGAGAAACAAAAGTGCTAAATAAATGAGCAAGTCAGGGATGAAGGGCAAGACAGCTGTGAGCAACTGAGTGCTTAAAGAAACAAAGCCAGGCAGATCGTTACCAACAAATTAAACAGTTCGGGGCCACTTTAGCAAGCAAATGAGAGAGCGAGAAAGACAGAGTGTGAGATAGTATGAGAATGAGCTCTACCTGTGCCGGTGACCGCATATCTGAAATTTAGGTTCATTTGGGATGTTAACTCAGCTGGGTCAGAGCTTAAGTAATAGGGAGCTTTTCCTAGCTATTCATCTTGTCCTCCTGGACAAGTAGTAATCTTACAACATAGCCTAATTCCCAGCTCTCTGTGATGAGTGAATTTGTTTTCCACCCTTGAGTTTTACCTGGGTGGGAGTGCTGCGAGATATAGGCAGGAAAATTCTTTTCTCATTTGTTTAGTTATATTTGAGAAAGGTGCTGAGTAAATGTTGGTGTTGATAAAGAGAAGCAACAAAGCACCAAATGCCTTCTTGCAAATGCAAGCAGTGCCAGTGAATGCTAGGTCATGGGAGCTCTAGCTCTTTGGGGAATGAGGGTTAATTTCAGATTCAGAGTGCCTTCTCCATTTGCCATCATCTGGGGGAAACCACACCCTTATTACATCATCTACAGTGCAGCTTTAGCGCACTCATCTCTAGTGCCCATAAATCTATTCATATAATTGACATTTATACCATAAGCTATAATATTGTTTGCACTATTAACATGTTTTATATAAACCTAAGGGCAAAATATGACTTTATCTTGTGTTGCCACTTTAGAGAAATAGAAAAGGTGGCCAGGCAAGGTGACTCACGCCTGTAATCCCAGCACTTTGGGAGGCCGAGGTGGTCAGGAGTTCAAGATCAGCCTGGCCAATATGGTGAAACCCCATCTCTACTAAAAATACAAAAATCAGCCGGGAGTGGCAGCACACATCTGTAGTCCCAGCTACTCGGGAGGCAGAGACAGGAGAATCGCTTGAACCTGGGAGGCAGAGGTTGCAGTGAGCAGAGATCGCGCCATTGCATTCCAGCCTGGGTGACAGAGTGAGACTCCATCTNAGAGAGAGAGAAATAGAAAAGATTAGGGTGAATGAAGAATTTATGAGATATTCAGAGTGGTCATAAATAACCATAAGACTTACACAACCTTTATCAAGAACATGCTATCCTGGGGCATTCTTGGTCAACCCATCAGATAACTCCTCTGATTTCTTCCTTTTTTTTTTTTTAAATATACATTTTTCCCCCTCCCGCTTGACTTCTTCCTAAAGGTTGAACATTAACAACCTTTAGAAACCTAGATCTATAAAAATGTCAAGATGGTTAACTGAAATATAGATAAGGACACTTGGCCAACCAACAGAGACTAATTTGTGAACAGGCATTCATTGATTACATATTTTCTGGGAGGCGGTAAGTAGGGATGCAAAAATAAATGACATAATCTAGTAGGAGTTCCACAATTGCCTGTAGCTGTTTACAAGATAAGACTTACCAAGCACTTTAGCGTGATGTAAACAGTACCACAAGAATTAAGAACAGAACAAAGCATTCCTCGCTGAAGTTTTCTTTTCACAGTGTTTTGTGGTACAGGTTGAGTATGCCTTTTTCAAAATGTTCAGGACCAGAAATGTTTCAGATTTTGGATTTTGGAAATTTGCATATATACATAATGTGATATCTTGGGGATGGGATCCAAGTCCAAGCATGAAATTGACTTCTGTTTCATGTATTCCTATATACATAGCCTGCAGGTAATTTTATACAATATTTTAAATAATTTTGTGGCTGAAACAAAGTTTTGACTGCGACTCATTACATGAGGTGAGGTGTAGAATTTTGTGGCATTGTGTCAGCACTCAAAAGGTTTCAGATTTTGAAGCATTTTGGATTTTGGATTAAGGATGCTCAGCCTGTACCATTGGCATTACATTAGAGTTCCAGCCTATATGGGCTCAGTGAATTAAATGAATTAGGTCTACATGTTTATGATGTTGGGCCTGTTGCTGTGATGCTTATGTGTCGTAAATAGCTTCAAGTATTAACAGATGACATTCACTATATTTAGACATTGTGGAATGTTCATTTTTAAGGTTGGGGTGAGAATTCTGGGATATAAGGGGAAAAAAGGAAATCTCCCTGTTTTAAAAAGGTATTCTACTATACAGCCATAAGAAAGAATGAGATCATGTCATTTGCAGTGACATGGTTGGAGCTGAGGCCATTATCCTTAGCAAACTAATGCAGGAACAGAAAACCAGATACCACATGTTCTCACTTATTAGTGGGAGCTAAATGACGAGGACACATGGACACATAGAGGGGAACAACACACACTGGTTCTTATTGGAGGTTGAAGGGTGAGAGGAAGGAGAGGATCAGGAAAAATAATGAATGAATACTGGGCTTAATACCTGGGTGAAGAAATAACTGGTACAGCAAACCCCCGTGACACACATTTACCTATCTAACAAACCTGCACATCCTGCACATGTACCTCTGAACTTAAAAGTTAACAAAATAAATAGACATTCTGTAGTCTCTATGAATCTTCTCATTTATTTAAGGATTTTTTCATAGGCACAGTGCCTTCTGATGCAGTTTTTAAGGCTGAGGTGAGAATTCTGGGGTATAGGGGGGAAAAAAGGAAATCTCCCTGTTTTAAAATAGGCATTCTACTATACAGCCATAAGAAAGAATGAGATCATGTCATTTGCAGGGACATGGTTGAAGTTGGAGGCCATTATCCTTAGCAAACTAATGCAGGAACAGAAAACCAGTTACTGCATGTTCTGGTGCACATATGTACACAGCCTGAAGGTAATAACATAAGCATTTACTGACTTCATCAGAAGGCACGGCACATGCCTTCTGATGAACTCAGTAAATGCTTATGAAGCACCATCCATCTAGCACTGTGCTAGATGCTGAAGATTCAAAGTAGACTAACATATTGTCCCTGCCTTCCAGAAGACTCAGCCTCCTGGGAATATCCGGATAGAAACACAATTACAGTTCAGCATTACATGTGCTGTAATCCAAGTTATGAGAACAATTTAGAGGAAGCAACTAAGGTTTCCTAGAGGAGCGAAAAAGACTTCACAGAAGCAATTATACCTTAGTTTGTTCTTAAAGGATAAGGAGTTGTTTTCCAGAGGAGGAGGAAATAATTCCAGACAGAACAATAGGTAGAGAGGCTTAGGAGTGACAGAATAGAATGATATATTCAGGAAATGCTCACAAAGGTCTATGTGGCTGGAAATAAGACTTTTTTTATTTAGAAAGTCAACTTTGGAATGTGCAGAGAATATGCTGAATGCAGACCTCAGCAAATCCAATGGGTTATGGTTACTTAAAAATTACTTAATTCTGGAAAAGCTTTGCATAGTCTGTGGACAAACGAATCCACAAACAAAACTGAGGCTTTGGGGTATTTGTCACAAATAGTAAATGAATATGTTCTTCTATTTCAGATCTAGCTCTTCTTTTATTCTCCTCTTTATTCCCTTTAGATGCTGACCATGGGACTCTATGCTTACAAATTTGTTACATCTACATTTTCACAACTTAAATATAATTTTCTGTTCTAAATGAATATGTGTCTAAGCTTTTTAAACACTAAACAACTGCCATTTTTCCCCAGGTCAATTTCTGCATTCTGGATAATTTTCTGAATCTGTAATATTTCTGAAGATTCTTCCAAGTATTAATACTACAGAACATACAGAAGTATTTTATGAATAAAGTCTCATTTTAATCTGAATTCAAATTCAATCAAAACTCATAAGAAACTACTTCGGAATCAAAACAGTAACAAAGTACCCTATCCCAACATTGGTTTAGTAAAGAAAGAATTTATTTCTATAGATGTTGGCATTTTACATATGAAGATTTGAAACTGCCCATTTCAAGTACAAAAAGAAACATTAAAAACCAGGGTAGTCTTCCTGGGAAATCCCATTAGTAATGGATTTTTGTACTAGTAATAGGGTTTTTCATTAGTATGGGATATTTGTATGGACTCTCAAAAGTTATTTCCACTTTGTAAAAATAATGTGTTTCCAGTTTGGTTTCAATATGCAAACTGTGTGCTATGCATCAAACAGGTAGTCCCTAAGTAAACACTGATTTTATGCATTGATTCAATGTGGGATTTTTTTAATTTTTTAATTTTTTTTTATTTGAGATGGAGTTCCGCTCGTTACCCAGGCTGGAGTGCAATGGCGCGATCTTGGCTCACCGCAACCTCTGCCTCCTGGGTTCAGGCAATTCTCCTGCCTCAGCCTCCTGAGTAGCTGGGATTACAAGCACGCGCCACCATGCCCAGCTAATTTTTTGTATTTTTAGTAGAGACGGGATTTCACCGTGTTGACCAGGATGGTCTCGATCTCTTGACCTCGTGATCCACCCGCCTCGGCCTCCCAAAGTGCTGGGATTACAGGCGTGAGCCACCGCGCCCGGCTGGGTTTTTTTTTTAACTTGCTACTGTGTGCCAGGCTAGCTCTTGATTTGAAACACTGTTAATTCCAAGAAATTCAGACATGCTCAAATCCCAGATTCAAACAAATGGTTTTCACTCATTCAACATTTTGTAACCCCTACTTTTATGGAGATTTTTAAACAACTATATTTGACTATAATTCATTGTTTGGACAAATTGTATGCAAATTAGAAAGCAGTTATTTATTACTTCTTTCTCTTAAACATATAATAACATGGATTTATAGTTTATCATATATTCATATTATAAATTACAATGGTATATGTCTTTTATTCTGTGTTTTGGACCCACTGAGCACAGGTGACAAAATTTGAGTTCTAACGTATTCCAATTTGATTATTCCAACTGAAGCTCTGCTTCTTTACTAACTTCTTGGTAAAGTTTTTCTTGTATAAAGTTTCATTCTGGCTCCCTTTTTGTCCTAAAATCCCATGCCTTCAGCAATCTGCATTAAATATTTATTAAACTACTGTCATTCTCTTAGCTCCTGATACTTTGGCTCACAGCTGGCCTCTAGGGCAATTTAATCACATTATAAATTCACAACACATTTGACATTAAAGAAAAACTTCCTGGCTGGGCGTGGTGGCTCACACCTGTAATCCCAGCACTTTGGGAGGCTGAGGCGGGTGGATCATCTGAGGTCAGGAGTTTGAGACTGTCCTGACCAACATGGTGAAACCTCGTCTCTACTGAAAAATACAAAAAATTAGCAATTTTGTGATTTTTTTTTTAAAAAAAGAAAGAAAAAAGAAATGAAAGTATGATTTTTTTTATTTAAAAAAAAAAAGAAAAACTTCCTGTGTCCCAAGTGCATACCTATGTGTATATGGCTTAAATCAATTTCACTTTCCTTTTATAAAAGAGCATAATAGGCCCAGCATGAAACAATCTGTATGATGGATTTTCCTGATACGAAAATTGTAAGCAGTGTGATTTTTCTGCTTTAGACAGCTGAGGTGGCGCTAGCTAATCTCAAGAACAAATATGAAAATGAAAAAGCAATGGTGACTGAAACCATGACAAAGCTTAGAAATGAACTGAAGGCTTTGAAAGAAGATGCTGCAACCTTCTCATCCCTGAGAGCAATGTTTGCAACAAGGTAACAGTATTTTCTTCCTAAGACTGGGTGTGGTATGTGGGGAAAAGCCTTTAAAGTTCACAGCTCTGTCTTTGTGCATGCTGAGTGTATTTGGTATATAGTCTAGGATGGTAAAGTGTGAAGAAAATATGTGGAATTCCACTCTGACATATACAAAGTCAAACCTTCTGTGCTGTTTTCCAGAGTCCCCTACTGAGCATTCTGGATCCAGAAATTCTATTACATAAAAATATTTTTATGTAAGGTAATATTAATAGACTGTTTGTAGAACTTATGCACCCCAAAGAAATAGAGTCTCCCTCCAAATGAAAAGCTTTCAATAAGAAAAAAAAAAAAAAACATTTCCTAGGATAACTAAATATTATATTATCACTCCTGCAATACAGTTCTGTGATGGAAGTACATGAAAGTATAGAAAAGTGCCTTACTTATCCTTAGTACTGTGCAAGAAGATACCGTCATAATGAAGGTTAATAGTCATCATATCAACTAATTACTTAGAATATATATGTATTTTTTTGAGACAGAGTCTCACTGTCACCCAGGCTGGAGGGCAATGGCACGATCCTGGCTCACTGCAACTGCTGCCTCCCAGGTTCAAGCAGTTCTCCTGCCTTAGCCTCCCAGAGATTCACTCTTGTTACCCAGGCTGGAGTGCAATGGTGTGATCTCGACTCACTGCAACCTCCATCTCCCAGGTTCAAGCGATTCTCATGCCTCAGCCTCCTGAGTAGCTGGGGTTACAGGCGTGCGCCACCATGCCCAGCTAATTTTTATATTTTTGGTAGATACGGGGTTTCACCATGTTGCCTGGGCTGATCTCGAACTTCTGACCTCAGGTGATCCACCCACCTCAGCCTCCCAAAGTACTGGGATTACAGATGTAAGCCACCACACCGGCCTATATTTTGTTTTTAAACATGAAGTGATTGTTAAGAATGTGTTCGATTTGAAGTTTTCAGAATCTTGGGATTTTCAATATACTGTTGAAATACATTTTTTGTTGTCACAATGCAGTGTCAAGAAAATCCTCCTTTTTTTTTTTTTTTTTTTTTTTTTTTTTTTTTTTGTTTTTTTTTTTTTGAGATAGGGTTTCCCTCTGTTGCCCAGGCTGAATGCAGTGGTGCCATCTCAGTTCACTGCAGCCTGGACATCTGGGCTCAGGCAACCCTCCCACCTCAGTCTCCCGAATAGCTGGATCTGCAGGCTTGCACCACCACACCTGCTCATTTTTGTATTTTTGTGGAGGCAGGGTCTTGCCATGCTGCTCAGGCTGGTCTCAAACTCCTGGGCTCAAAAAATCCGTCCACCTCAGCCTCCAAAAGTCCTGAGATTATGGGTGTGCACCATCATGCCTGACCAAACCTCACCAATTACATGTCTTGTATGATGCAAACTTGGTGCAAAATTCCCAAATAATTACTAAGGCTTTACTTGCAGACTTGGTAAATGATTTACATGTAGCTGATACAAGTGTTAAAAATGAAACAAATCTCTTGAACTTTAAAGGAGTCCCCCAGAATCTGTCCGTCTTTCTTTGTATGTTAGGAGAGTACAGGCTTAAGCCGAGACCTTGTGATTGAATCTCTTGGAGATGGCAGTGAGAAGGCTGAGTGCCGAGAGCCTGCAGGGGTGCAGAGGAACTAGAGGGAACTGACTTCTGGGTCTCAGGGCATGGCAGTGTTTGGGAATAGAATGTGTTTACCTCTGGCCACTATGGTGGACAGGATAGAGAATAGGAATGGGGCACAATGTCCCCCTCTTTGATGAAAGAATCAAGATTATATTTGGAATCAAGAAAACATAAATTTCCTCTTTGAGAAGGAAATTTTTAAAAATGTCAAAAACATTTCAAGTCTGAATCTGATTTATATAAGAAGTATTATCCCCTAGCCAGGCACGGTGGCTCAATGCCTGTAATCCCAGCACTTTGGGAGGCTGAGACAGGTGGATCACCTGAGGTCAGGAGTTCAAGACCAGCCTGGCCAACATGGTAAAACCCCATCTCTACTAAAAATACAAAAATTAGCAGGACATGGTGGCATGCACCTGTAATCCCCACTACTCAGGAGGCTGAGGCAGGAGAATTGCTTGAACCTGGGAGGTGGAGATTGCAGTGAGCCAGGATTGCGCCACTGCCCTCTAGCCTGGGTGACAGAGTAAGACTCCCTCTCAAATAATAATAATAATAAAAAATAATTATTATCCCCAAATTGTCCATTTTCACAGACTTTTTTCTGGCATGAACAATAATCTGTTATTCATATTTTAGTGGGTAAATAAACTCAGGAAAAAAAAAACTCAGAATGAGCTTTTTCCCCACACCATATCTCCCTTCCAAATGTATATGTGCTCAGGTTTTGCCATTGGTAAGGAAAAAAGATCACTGAGCTTATCTTCCTTTTTCGGCACAAGTATGAAACCTGAATAAAGATGTTTCAGAGAGTCTTGTGCAAATCTTGGTTTTTGCAGGGTTTTTTGTTTTTTGACAACTCATTGTTCTATCATCTGGTTGAGAAATCACTGAAAATATTCAGTTTTCTAATTCAGGCAAATTAGTCAAATTGACAAGAGCAACAGCTGCAATCGATACTAAATTAAACTAAAATGTATAAATATAGATAAGGAATATTTTCTTTATAGACATTATTCTTTTGGATACTACAGGCATAGCCTATAATAAGATTGTCACATTCCTCTAAAGAATACGTTATACAGTAAAAAGAGCTACTGTAAGACATTTCAGGTACTGTGGACATTGTGTGAAACTTGACTGTTTTTCTGATGTTACACAGCAGCCCCACAATAACTCTGTCCCTGGGGTTTAAGTTGTTGTCCATTAAGACTGTTTCTATATGGACTGGGTGCAGTGGCTGATACCTGTAATCCCAGCACTTTGGGAGAACGAGGCAGAAAGATCACTTGAGGCCAGGAGTTGAAGACCAGCCTGGCCAACATGGTGAAACCCTGTCTCTACTAAAAAAAAAAAATACAAAAATTAGCCAGGCGTGGTGGTGCACTCCTATAATCCCACCTACTCGGGAGACTGAGTCATGAGAATCACTTGAACCTCGGAGGCGGAGGTTGCAGTAAGCCAAAATCATGCCACCGTACTCCAGCCTGGGTGATAGAGCAAGACTCAGTCTTAAAAAACAAAACAACAACAAAAATAATAAAAATTTAAACATCCCATATATACTTCATTGTATGGATGAACACACATTCCAACTTTCTGCTATTATAGGTTATCTACATTCTTTTGCTAGACCTTTGAACCAGTCTTCTAAATTTCTAAATTTCAGTCAAATTTATTACTTTTCAACTTAAGTCCCAAATTCAGCTTCACCAAGATTTTCCCCTGACCAGCTTCCCTGTTTTGGTTCCAGATGTGATGAATATGTCACCCAGTTGGATGAGATGCAGAGACAGTTAGCAGCCGCAGAGGATGAGAAGAAGACTCTAAACACTTTGTTACGAATGGCTATCCAGCAAAAACTCGCCCTGACCCAGAGGCTGGAGGACTTAGAGTTTGACCATGAGCAGTCCCGACGCAGCAAAGGCAAACTTGGAAAGAGCAAGATCGGCAGCCCTAAAGTAAGTGGGGAGGCATCAGTCACCGTGCCCACCGTAGACACTTACCTCCTGCATAGTCAGGGCCCACAGACACCCAACATTCGGGTCAGCAGTGGCACTCAGAGGAAAAGGTATGCATGCAGCGATCTTCATGGTACGGTGCAGTGGCCAGATTTTAGTTAACTGCAAAAATAAATGTGCTCTTGTTGTGGAGGATGGAGGAGGGGAAGGAAAAGAAAAAACGGGAGCTGGCCTATAAATGGGCCTTGCTAACGTGGGTCTTTCCAGATCAAAACCTTTTTGATAACTGTGTTTATGTAGTCCTTTCTAACCCCCTGCCCAACTTCTCCTCTTGATTAATCGTAATATAATTTTCAAGTGTCTGTTAATATTTTTGCTACTCTTTGTATATATAAATATGCCTCTCCCTTACCTCCAACCTAAGAATTGGTAGATAAAGTTGGATATTAAGAATGAAGCTGTGTTCTACCTGGGTTCTAATTTTAAAAGTCATTGTACCTTTGGAAATGGTGCTGTTTATCAGCTTCTCTTTAACGGGGCAAGGATATGAATCTGTTCTCTTAGGGAAACTTTTGTCCATTTGACCAAAACTGATGACGGACTGAAAGTGGGTGTCTATATTTAGATTAAATGGGATGGAATACGCATAGTCCTTTTCTTGAAAGCAGGTTTTTGAGCTTTTTCGTTTGGCGTGGGAATATTGCCCAGAGAAACCACTTGTAAGGTTTTTAGGGGCTTGATTTTGTGACCTCTTTCCAGAGTCCTGCCTGTTGAGTTACTTACCCTGTATTTTCGATTAATGGTAACATTTTTATTTTAGGAGCTTTTTCGTTAAAGACTCAAATAATATATTTTCCGTTTGTGGTTGAAACTGACTAACTTTAATAAATCTCTTTTCCAGTATCCAGAGCAGTTTCCAAATAGGGTTGTATCCTGATGTGGAAACTTTAAAAAAAAAAAAAAAAATAGCAAAACTCTTGATTTACATATTAAAAAAATTAAATGCCGGTATAAATAATGTTGTCACTGGTGAGGCATTGAAAGGTAATTAAAGTAAAACTTTTTTGTTTCCTATATGTATTTTTCTTGGATCTCCTGCAAGACAATTTTCACCTTCCCTTTGTGATCAGAGCCGTCCCAGGACTTCAGGGGCTTCCTACCTACAGAATTTATTAAGAGTTCCCCCTGATCCCACCTCCACAGAATCATTTCTTCTGAAGGGCCCCCCTTCCATGAGTGAATTCATCCAAGGGCACCGGCTCAGCAAGGAAAAAAGGTTAACCGTGGCTCCACCAGGTAAACATTTTTTCCTTGGGTTCATGTGATGCAAATGATTAGTTGAATAGACTCTCCCCTTCCTTCCAGTCACTCAGGCCCCCCAGCCTCAGAGTCTACCTTTCATGATGTGTAAATTCCTACAATTGGCCAGGCGCGGTGGCTCATGCCTGTAATCCCAGCACCTTGGGAGGCCGAGGTGGGCAGATCACGAGGTCAGGAGTTCGAGACAAGCCTGGCCAACAAGGTAAAACCCCGTCTCTACTAAAAATATAAAAAATTAGCCAGGCGTGGTGATGCGCGCTCATAATCCTAGCTACTTGGGAGGCTGAAGCACAAGAATCACTTGAACTCAGAAGACAGAGGTTGCAGTGAGCCAAGATTGCGCCACTGCACTCCAGCCTGGGTGACAGAGCGAGACTCTGTCTCAAAAACAAAACAAAACAAAAAAATAAATAAATTCCTATAATTCAAGTAAAAACTGCCTTATACTTAGCGTCCCATTTCCTCCTTCACTCACGTTCCGTAGAATGATGGACTTCGATTTAACAGCCAAAGATGGAAAATGGGAGTTGGAAGGAATGGGATAGGTAAAGGGAAATTAGCAACAAGCACAAAACACACACACACTTGGATCTTATTTGCAGTTTGGTAGCTCATGGCAATTCCATCTTGGTCATATTTGGCCAGTTCTCTCTTATCATTTTCAATGTAATTTCCTTAAAGGGAGCAATATGTATGACAAGGCTTTGGGCTGATTTCCTTTTGTAGTGACTCAGAATGTCTCCTCAATCATTATATTGAGAATAAAAGCAAAACCCTCTACGATTTTGCTCCTCAAGAACATTTAGGTCTTAGTAGAATGTTCTTGTAGATTGCAAATCCCCGTTGGTTTATGCTGACCAACATGCTCACACTTGACCTTAGCTTCACTATTTTGCATTTTTCTTTCTTTCTTCCTTCCTTTCTTTCTTTCTTTTTACTTGTTCTATGAAGAGGCCTAAATTGAAAATGGGGCATAAGGCAAATAAAGAAAATGTGACTTCTTGCAAATAAAAATCATCCTTTTAAGGAATCCCTGCATGTGAGTATAGGGCAGAAGTGGCAAAGGAGCCCATAAACTAAAATAAGCTTAAGGGCAGCTGTTACTTGACTATTGCAGGAAAATCAAAAATAAAACTAATTCAAGTTAGTTATCGACAGTTAAAAATTGAGGAGATTTCACATGAGCATCAATATTTCTGGCCTCTTTTGGAAGACTCTGAATATCTGGCAGCCCTGGGTCTGCATTCACGCATGTCAACACGTTTGGAGCTCTGTAGGGGTGGCTGCTGTTAGGGCAAGCTTTGTACTTTGCCACAGTCCCCACTCCTCCTTATGACTTATTCCCAGCCTGCTGTCCTCATTTCTGTTCTCTCCTGGCCCTTCCTGTAGTCTTTGAGTTTACCACTGTTGCCATAGAATTATTTTTTCATTTTACCTTAATTCCTTTTTGCAAACCTCAGCCTTTGGATCTCTAATACTTTCCGTATCTGATTCATGGAATCAGCCTCCTGATTGGGATTAAAAGATGTGGTGTAGAAACTGATGGTGCATTTCACGTTCTAAAGGCGCTTGAGGAAATTGGTAGTGATAATGAGTTGAAATGGTGTAATAGCCAAAATAGACACCTAAAAAAAAAGTAACAACTGCTTGGTGTTTTTAATTTCATAACTGATTTCCTATTGTTTTAGACCTCCTTGGAAGGTACCTTGAAGTATTCTGTGAATCACCAAAGTGGTAACAATTTATCAGGATACCTAACTCGGATAAAACCCACAAAAGTCTTCTTTTTAGTGTTCCAAATGGATTTAGTAGCATTTGGAACTTGGAAAAGAAATTGGTATGATTAAGAAATAACTCCTATTGCCATTTAATTAAAAGGATAACATCTCAATAAGATTAAAAATTAATAATAAATGTTAACAATAACTTTTCATTTTTGTATGACTGGTTTTTGTTTACATGAATATATATTTTATATCGTCGTCATTACATTGTTTAAGCCATGAACATTATATCACAAGCTTTTCTATGTTGCTATGTAGTCTTGTTTTTTTGTTAAAGTTATTGTATTATAGATTTTGTTTCAGATGCTGTTATCACATTAATCACTACTTCACCTCTTGTCCACCGAGGTAGTTTTTCATTATTTGTTGTATTATAGAGCACTGCTGGGAATAGTCTCATGCATTCAACTTCTCATCTGTTACATTTTTCTCAAGCATGAGATCACTCCATTAAAAGTTGAACTTCTTTATGTTTTTTGCTCCATTCTGAAGTTGCTGTCAAGAAGGGTATATCAATGTACTAAAAGCCCATAAAACGCTTTCCCGTTTTCCCGCATTGGTAATCTTTCTACTACTTTATACACACTGTACACTTCTTACAACTTTAAAGTCAGTTAGCATACGTGAATGAGAGTACCAGTATAGTGTCTTAAACACTTTAGTTTTGAATAACCAGAAAATACCATTGACCTTAGAAATGATTGCTATGTATGAGATTAGAGGCCGGGCGCGGTGGTTCACACCTGTAATCCCAGCACTTTGGCAGGCTGAGGCAGGCGAATCGCTTGTGCTCAGGAGTTTTAGATCAGCCTGGGCAACATGGCAAAACCCCATCTCTACAAAAAATACAAAAATTAGGCAGGTGTGGTAGTGCACGCCTATAGTCCCAGATACTCAGGAGACTAAGATGGGATCCCTTGAGCTGGGGAGGTGGAGGTTTCAGTGAACTGAGATCACACCACTGCACTCCAGCCTGGGAGACAGAGTGAGACCACTGTCTTTAAAAAAAAAAAAAAAAAAAAAAGATTAGAGATATAAGGAATGTGGAATTCAGAATCATCACCAGACCAGAAGATCATACTAATGACAGTTTAACATAATGATAACCTTAATAATGATCACCATTTATTTAAAGTTAAAATAATAAAAGCGGAAAGGAAGTAAAGCTGTTATTATAGCCTTAGGAATTTTAAATTATGTATCATAGAACCAACCAGATTAATGCTTAGTTAAATGAATTGCTATAGAAAGTGACTGACCATCCACACCAAATGAATTGTAGCTTCTACAGATGTCTGCATTATTACCAAAATATGCTATTTTCCCTTGGCTGAACTATATAGGATAAGACATATCAAAGATTCTTTATGATGCTCGTACTATATAAAATGTTTTCATTAAGTCAAGAAAGAGAAAATATGCCATATATGATCACTTATGTTCTATATATAACTGTTATAAACTCATGGGAAATAATAGATTTTATTAGTATTTTTTAACCATCAGTTTCATTAACCATTATTAAATTTGTTAGCTGGGAACAGTATCTATTAATCATTTTAAAAGGACAATTCTCTATTAACTTATCAGAATGTTTTTGATAAGCATTGTTTTCTAAAATATATTGTTAGTACATCTTTTTAGGTGATTTTTAATTATTCTAATAAGCAGATATGGGCTTTATTTTTCTGTTGAGGACCATTGAAGCAATTACTCAACTAAAAATGCAATTTGTTTAATTTGTTTTTAATCCTTTGGTTGAGAAATTGAGAGAAATATGTCTCACTTAAAAATTTAAGACACAGGGCCAGGCGTGGTGGCTCACGCCTTTTATCCAAGCACTTTGGAGGCCAAGGCGGGCGGATCACCTGAGGTCGGGAGTTCAAGACCAGCCTGACCAACAGGGTGAAACCCCGTCTTTAAAAAAAAAAAAAAAAAAAAAAAAATTTAAGACACAGAACATGGCCGGGCATGGTGGCTTATGCCTGTAATCCCAGCACTTTGGGAGGCTGAGGCGGGCGGATCACCTGAGACCAGCCTGACCAACATGGAGAAACCCTCTCTCTATTAAAACAAACAAACAAACAAAAAAGACACAGAACATAGAATGCTATTTGTTCTATATAAGAGATACTTTCAAATAGATTTCACTTCTGTGAGACGGTGAACAGAAAACCTCATCTCCTTAAATGCATGATTTTTCAATTCTAGAGAATCCAACTATAGGGCGGTGCATTGATTTTCAACGTTAGTAGAACTTTTATACTAATTGATTAATGCAGTATACTGATTGATTTGCTGCATTAAAACAACCTTTTAAGGGAAAAATCTGGCTTTTCCCTCTGGCTGGCTCAGCTTCTGCAACCTCAGCCCTTGCAATTCCAGTGCTTCTGGCCGTGGCTTGCTTGTTGACTTTATTGTTCTTGACTTTATCCTTATCCTGGCCACAAATTCCAGTGTCCTTCCACAGACTCATCTTAGTTTTCACAGTTTCAGTCACCAGCTGATCTGAGAAGTGCCTACCAGCTTTGATGACCTTGACTCAAAAAGGATCCTGTTGTCATCCAGGAGTTTGTAATTAGGCAGCAAATTGTATGTCTTCACAAAATTATTGTCTATTTTTTAGCCAGCATTTTATCTTGACTCCTTAACTGCCTACCTATATCCTTCTCCCCCTCATCATCTTCTTCTTCATCATCTTACCATTTAATCAGTAATTACAATCAATCTGTCAGAACATGTAAAAGCAGTCCATGCAACTCACAGGCAGGAGTTGTTACTTCTGTAGTAAAGACCTGACTGCAGCATTTGCACAAGATAAATAGGAAATGGCAAACCTGGGGAAGCAAGTGTGAACTCAGTCTGGAAGTCGTAGCCTAAGCAGCTTGCTCTTCACTCTGCCTTTTCCATGTGGGGCTTTTCCTCTTAGATGTCTTGCTTCCCTGTATCATTTCAGTCTCCTCCCTCCCTCTGTTCCTACCTCCTTCCATCCCTCCCACCCTCTCTTTCTCTGACACAATGAATGACTCAGCTAGTTTAAGAGGATGGTATTATTTTGAAGTCTGAAAATGTTTCTATGATAGTTTAGATTTTACTGATTTTTTTTTTTTTTT